TAAGATAAGATAAAAACTTATACTTAAGAAAAAAAACTTATAAAATAAAGATAAAAAAATATTGAATATGTAAAAAATATAAATTATAAAATAAATATGAAGGTCGAGCTTTCTCGATATGTATTGTAGGAAACTGCAGCGTATCGGCAAGCATAAGAAGGACAGCATACAAAACAAATATGTATAACAATTACAAAAATGCTGTCCAGTGTCCACACATTGCCTTGTAAGTTATGTAATTTACTTCTTCATGGGTAGTTTAGTTCCACCACGAGACCTAAAATTATGCATATTTAAGGGGCAATCACATAGAATATATACATTGTTATATAATTTTGATAATATTTTTTGTGAGTAATACTCGCATAAAATTGTTATTATTCATCTAGTTTAATAATATTTTAAATAATTAGATATTACACGAAATATTATATAAACTGCAGCATTTATATAATTTGATAATGTCTAATGTGATTGTCACTTAAATTTACTTTATTTTAAGATTCTCACTCTAGAGTTTCCCATTCTTTAATGCTAAATATATAAAGTATTAATGGGTATTAATCTAATATAGTTGTTAGAGTATGAACATTCTTTTTAACATATTAGATATAAGCTATCGGAGACTCGGTGTAGTATATATACACATATTTTTAATATAATTCGTATTAAGTTTAAGCTGACATTTAATTCCTAGACTGTCGGTTCGATAAATCAAAAGATATGATTGATATATTATTGATATTTTAAGATTCTAATTGGAATATTTAAGTGTTTAAGGACTAAATTAAAATATGAATGATAATGTGGGGATCTTCTTTAATGTAATTGTCATAACCGTCCTTCGGGTGGGTTCGGAATTGAGCTTCGACTTAAATAAAACGTGTTAGAGCCGCCATTGATCATTTTAAACAAATTAGGTTGGCTGAACACCTTAATTTACCATTTTACCTGATATGCGTTTTACCAAAAATAAATCGGATTCGGGAGTCGATTACAGTCAAGGAAGGATTAGCACCCTTGTACTGCCCTTTCGGTACCAGTTTAATTTCACGGTTGTCTTAATTGCGAAAATTAAAAGTTAAATTAAAAATTAAAATTCGATCCGAATTACTTACCTTTGATCGAATAAAATTGCCCTTAAAAAGTCAAAAACATTATATTATAAAATATAAAATAAATATTAAATATATCAAAAAGAGGGGAAAAAGTTAAAAAAATGTTAAAAGAGAAAAAAATGAAGAAAATATCAAATTTTAAAAGAAGGAAAAAAAAATAATATATATAAAAAGTTAAAAGAGAAAATAAAAAAAAGATAAAAAAAATGTTTAAAAATAATAAAAAAATGAAGAACATGTTAAAATTAAAAGAAAATAAATAAATAAAAAGAAATAAAGAAATAAATAAAAATTTAAAGGATCAAATTAGAACAAATTGAAGTCGTTGGATCAAATTGATGCTAAAAGTGAGTTGCAAGGAGAAACAAAAAGGTTAGGGTACCAAATTGCAAAATGTGAAAAATATAAATAGGGATTAAATTGAATTAATTCAAAATCCAAGGGAAAAATTACAATAGGTGTCCAAAATGAATTACGCATCAAAACTAAAAGGACTGCGAAAATAATTTAAATATTTGCTAATTACATCAAGGTCTCCCTTATAAATTGCCAAAAAAGTTAGAAAATACATTCATTTTCACTCTTCCTCTCAAATATTCTCTCAACCCTCCCTTAGCCGGCAGAATACCAGGCACTTCCCGACGAGAAACCACGCGCGGACCGCCGCTCCGACCACCGCCTCCGGTGGCCCGAAAAAACAAACTTAACCAAAATGTTCCTCTTAACCCCGTGAGTATGAAATCAAAGTCTGATTACCCCAAAATGCCCTAATCGACGTAGATCTATATTTAAAGTTTCATTTTTTTTACCTTTAATTTGGCAACTCTTCAGGCTCCGACGGTTTTTCCTAGCAAAAACTTAGGCTTAAACTTGGTTTTTTATGATTTTTTTGGTAGTATACTGAATGTTTTATTTGGCTTGATGCTTTGTTTCTTACTACTTTGATTATTGGGATTCTTGATGCTTCGATGCTTTTCGTTTGGTTTCTCGTGCTTATGTTTCTGTGTTGCTATCTCATGTCCTCTATTCGGTTTCTCTTGGTGTATTTATATAGCCCCCAACGGGGCCGTTTCCGATCATAACGGGGGACGTTTCCATCGTCTTTGTTTTACTCGGGCCTGCTGCCATTCATGTTGGTCGGGTATCTCGGGAAAATATTTTCCAAGTTTTGTTTTGATTTTAAAATCATACTTCGATTTGCGCTGCCTCGAAAATATTGGTCGGTTGCTGGCCCGTGACCTTCACGCATTATTGATCAGTGATTGTTGGGTCTCCTGATTTGTTATGGACCATTGGATCAATTGATCCGATCCAACGACTGTCATGCTTGCCGCGTCTTTGATAAATGTTGAAACCCTAACCTATTAGGCTTCTTGAGCTCAAAAACTTGCCAACTGGGTCAGGTGGGCTTGTGGCTGGGCTTCTCATCGGGTCTGCTTGCTGGGTCAGGCTTGCAGGCTCGGTTGGCCTTCATTTTTTGACCTGGACTTTGGATTTTTGGACTTATTGAACCTTAAAAAAATAAAAAATAATATTAATAACAATATAATAAATATAATAAATAATATATATAAATAATATGTATACTATATTTATTTTAAAAACTATATACTATATGTTTTCTAAAATATTTTAAAAAAACTTTATATTATATGTTTCAAAAATACGTTTTCAAAAATACGTTTTCAAAAACTGTATTATATATACGTTTTCAAAAATATTTTAAAAACTATATATTATATGTTTTCAAAAATTATATTATATATATGTTTTCAGAAATATTTTAAAAACTATATATTATATGTTTTCAAAAATGTGTTTTCAAAACTATATATTATAGGTTTTCCAAAACCAATTTTTAAAAAACTATATATTATATATGTTTTCAAAAATATATTTTCAAAATTATATATTACACTTTTTCCAAAATTATTTTCAAAAAAATTATACTATATTATTATATATATACACTAAATAAGCTCTGTACAGAAATGGATGTCTACAGTAATTAATCATAAATATGCTATATGTAAATGTGATTGGACTGACATCTTAAGCCTATATATTATTAAACAGAAAGATATTAGCCCATTTGCTGGAAACACATGTTTTATATTTATATATGGGTAAAATACATAACCGGTCAACTAATTATTAGTAAGATTATAAATAGATCGCCAAACTATAAAAAAATACAAACTGATTAATCTATTATTACAGATGCATCGCTTTATCATTAAAAATGAAATAGACAGTAACATTTTAATTATAATCAAGTCACTCAATCAATCAATTGTAATAATCAAGTTAATTTATCATATGTAACAGTTAAGTCATCCAATTTATCATTTATAATAACTAAGTCACTCAATTTATAGATTGTAACAATTAAGTTTCTTAATTTATCGAAGTAACAAATTATGAAGATATAACAAACTATAATTTGGGTCTAAGAATTGGGTTGATTAGTGCTTTTATTTTATGGTGTTTAGTAGCCATAAGTTATTTAGGAAGCTGTAAATGGTTTGGTTGGTGAATAATTACTTATCATTCCATGTTTGATTGTCTAATGGTGATGGTGTTGGGTTTCATTTCAACATTGACCATGGTAGATTGGTTCAATAGTGGTATTCGATAAGTGGTGGTAAATACACCACCTAAAAGAAGGAAAAGCAAAGGGACAATAGTGACGACGAAAGATGCATTAAACAAAATGGTATCAAGTTTGAATGATGTAAGAAGATGGTGGAAGGGAGAAGAAATAAAAAAAAAGAGTTATAAGAGAAATTAAATTAATATAATATTTAAATGTTGATGATTAAATTTCTAGAATTAAGATTATACTATAATAATATATAATAATTAATAATTAAATTTATAATTATATCAATATTGTTAATTGTCAAGTCATTTATTTCTTAACAGGTCAATTTATTATTTTTATTAAGTCAGGTGATTATAAAAAGGTTTCTTATAATTGGGAGAGTATCTACATAGTTTACCCAGAAACCTTGGGCGGTTGCTTGCCTTACGACCTACCTCCCCTAATTTTCGAGATGAAGATTGAAGACCGTTGGGCGTAGTTGAAGAAGTAAACTCGCCTCGTAGTTTAAAAACCAACTCTTTAGATTCGGTACCCAAAAAAAAGCGGAAATTTGTTCTTTGGATCCCGCGTAATAAAAATGTTGAATTGCTTGAATTGCTCAGGTAATCAATCTCTCGGATTTGATTTTTATTTTTCAAACTCTTTGTTGTCAATTTAATTGAAAACCCTAAATTCATCAATCAACGAACAATTATCACTCGATCAATCTTTCCAATTTTTGCATTACGATTTAAGTTTATGTATAATGAGTAGTTGAAGCTGAAACTTGAAAACAAACAAATGCATAATTGCTTAAAGATATTTTTGCTTGAACATGCTGTTGAAATCTCTTTTCACATTGCTCATTGTTTTGACTAAAATGTTGTCTTTGCAGGCAAAATAATACGGGCTTGTGTTGCAGCTAAAATTCAAGTTGAACGTGATATGTGTTTGAAAGAATTTATTGCACTGAAGACTTGCGTGCAGAATACGGTATCTATAGTCTATGATTGCTTAGAAACATTTTTTTATATATTAAAAGAAAGAAGTATACTGTGGTAGATAATTGAGTTGCAAGTAACTTAACTTCTTCGTTTTAAAAAGTGTGCTAACATTAAAGGTTTTGGTTTTCAGCTCCGTGGAAAGGTGTAACATTTTGAGCTTTGGGATTGAAAGTTGTATGATAAGTTAAATCCGATGAACTTTTCTGTTTATTTTTTTATGCTAGTCTTTAAGCTCTGATTCATTCTTTATTTTACTCTTACTATCTTTTGTGCATTTTCTGTGTTATTGTTCTCTAGAAATTTGAGTTTGAAAATACAACATAACCTTTGAAGAATGGCTGGGAAAGCTTCAAGTACGCAAGCCAGTGTTGGTGGTTTAGGTTCTGGTGCCGTGTCACATGTTTTCATACAATATCCCCCTCTTCGTTACAACATTCCTGGGTCAAGGGGTTTCTATTATGATGATGGAAATAAATTGCTCCTCTCTCCTACATCTGACCAGGTCTGATAGTTCTGAAGTTAAATAGTGTGGTAGATTTTTTTTTTTTATATTGCTGTTCCATATTTTACATTGCTGTCTGCACAGGTCTTTTCATGGAAAACTTCTCCATTTTCTCCAAATGCTGCCCCTAACATTGACTCAATAACCGAAGGGCCTATCCACTCCATCCGATTTTCTCTAGACGAAAAACTTATAGCAGTCCAACGGTTCAGCACTTCTATACAATTTTTGCATAGAGAAACAGGGGAAGCTTTAACTCAAAGGTACATGTCCGAGTCAGAGAGTATACTGTGGTTTTTCTGGACAGATTGCCCATCATGTGATATTGTAGTTGTGAAGACCGGGTAGGGAGAAGCTTCCTTTACATGCACATTGGTTAACGATTTTGTCATTGTGAATATCTTAAACTAATATTTTATGTAAGAATTCAGCTTCAATTGAGATATGATTTTTCTGAAAAGGAATAAAATTTCATGTAATAGGAATGTTTCTTTGAAGCTGAATGCTTAGTTTACTCTGACTTGGATATCTAATGTATAAGCTTCTTGTTTTATTCTATTTATGAGAATTTTTTTATTACCAGCCACTTTTTTTACCCACCCATAGCACTCGAACTAAGCTTGAGTGTGAAATTTGTAGTTACCAACTATTTATCACCTAATCATACTTTATCCTACCCTTGTTATTTATAGCAATGATACTCTTTCAGGTCATGCAACCAGGTGCAGAAGCTTTAGAACATTTGTTTCAGTCATGGCACCATGGATTTTCTTTTTCTATTGATGCACGGAACTTTGCTGTCTTTGTTGCATGACCAAAGACATAAGTGATGAGTATGAAAAGAGAGAGGAAAATGATTATTATTTCTGAAAATATTTGTTGTTAGAAAAATTACCAGTACCACCACGAAGGAGAATGAAGTTTGAAAGTTATTTTTGGGGAGATACGGCTCTAGTATGGATCCAGATCATTTCCCACGGCTAAATCAACAACCTTCCTTATATTTTATACACTTAAATTTCATTTAGCAACTTAAATGGATTGTGCATCCTAATACCAAGTCAATCATCTAGACATGCAGTTACCATTGTCCGTGTTGCTGAAAATAATCATCCTTATTTTACCTTTTTGAGTTATGTTGCATTCTTATTTATATTTTTCCTTACCATGTTTCTACTTTTATTGGCAGCAAAGGTTTAATGTACTCTATTTGCTGAAATGGAATTTAATTGCAGTGGGTTGGACTTGTTTGCTTATGATCATCCTTCGAAGTCACTTGCCTTAGTTGAGACAAAGACAATGGCTGTTAGTTGGTATGTCTATACGCACGAGAGCAGATTGGTACTTCTTGCTTCAGGAATGCAGTGCAAGTCTTTCCATGGATTTCAGGTATGGCTATGAGCTTCACTAGCTCAATTTCTAGAATGCTCTTAGATCTGCTCTACTTTGGCTGGATAATGGTTGCACCATGCAAGAAAGTTAACATTGAAATTGGTCTTGGTGGTAAATGTGAGAAAATGGTAAAAAAAAAAAAAAAATGAAATTACTCAACTACTAAGTGCACATGACTGTAGTATTCACGTGCCGGACTCTCTTCTGATAGGGAGCCTTTAATGATCAGTACAGATAGATTATGATCCTTTTTGCCCCTAATTTCAATGATTTGACATGTTGCTATCTCTTATCTTCAGCTTTCATCTGCTGGAATTATTCGATTACCAAAGTTTGAGATGGTAATGGCTAAATCTGAAGCTATCAGTAAGCCTGTCCTTGCATCAGAAGATGTTTATATCGTCACCGTGTATGGTTTTTTTACCTGTTTTTGCTGGTACACTATACTGCTTGCTAAATCATATATATGTTTATTATATATGCTTTTTATACTTTTGGCAGCTATGGGAGAATATACTGCTTGCAAGTTGATAGAGTTTCAATGGTACTGCATTCATATAGATTTTATCGTGATGCTATTATCCAACAGGTAAGTGTTACTCGAAACTCCTAGTTCCTTTCTGGTACAGGCTTCATTCAATTGGTTGTGTTGGAATCATAACCTTACTCGTTCCATTTGCAGGGCTCATTACCAATTTATTCGAGCAAGGTTTCTGTGAGTGTGGTTGATAACGTGCTACTTGTGCACCAAGTAGATGCAAAGGTCGTTATACTGTATGATATATTTTCAGATTCTCGGGCTCCCATATCTGCTCCCCTTCCAGTACTGTTGAGGGGCTTTCCAAGATCCGATAATTTTACATCTCGACCCGGCACCAAAGAAAGTGAAAGTTTGGAGACCTCTGATTCAAATGATAACGAAGCAATTATTTATGGAGATGGCTGGACCTTTTTGGTTCCCGACCTTATTTGTGATATTGCAAATAATGGTTTATGGAAAATCCACTTGGGTTTGGAGGCAAGTCTTGTTGGTCATACTTTTATAATTTGCAAATAATGGTTTATGGAAAATCCACTTGGATTTGGAGGCAAGTCTTGTTGGTCATACTTTTATAATTTGTTGTAGTTAATTCTCGTCATAATTGCCCCCTTTATCTCCTTGTAGGCAATTTCTGCTAGTTCCTCAGAAGTTCCATCAATATTAGAATTCATGCAAAGACGGAAATTGGAAGCCAACAAGGTCAATTCTCAGCTGACTTTTTTTCCCTTTCCACAATGAAGGGTGATATAATCATTGACTAGTGTTAATATATATTGTTTCGATATTTCAGGCTAAACAACTGTGTTTGGCAATTACACAAACAATGATTCTAGAATGCAGACCTATCGCCATGGTTGCCAAGGCAATGGATGTTTTAGTCACCTCATATTCCCTCTCTCTGAAAAATGGCAGTTATTTCAAGGGAATTAAGACTGAAAGGACCTCCTCGAGTGTGTCAAATGTGAGTGGCCCATTTCAAGGCATAGATGTAAACACTGGCAGAACCGATGGACTTGGAAAATCTGTCCAACACGAATCTGCTTCCAGAGTCAACAGTGTATCTGTCGGTAGGCCTTCAAATTATTCATCTTCAGAGACAGAGGACAGTTCCAGCTTTGAACCATCAAAAATCAGCTCAAATGATACTCAATTTGATGGTGGCAAAGTGGATATGGCTGCTGAAAGTTCTACCACTCATAATCCGTTAAATTCTAGTGTTTCTTTTTTTTTGTTGGACAAATGCTAGTGTTTCTGAACAGCAGGAGTCTCAGCTCACTTCACCTGCAATTTCACCTAATGAGATGTACAGATTTGTCTTTGCTCCTATCAAGGAAGAGATGACTGGAGAGCCTTCTTATCTAGTTTCCATTATTCTTGAACTTTTTCGAAGTTATGGTAATCATTTGAAGTGGTTTAGGACTAGTGTGTATAACAATTATAAAGGATTCTTAAAATGGACTTCAATCTTCTTAAGGGCTACTATAGTCATATTCTGGATATATAAACAAGCCTCCCTGTTGTGGATAAACTTGTTGTCAAATCATGTTTTCTTAACCATTTATGTGGTCAATAGAAACATAGATTATTCAATAAATCATGTCCCGGTTACTGTGAGGAAGTCCTTGGCCTACCCTTCAACTGAGCAGCAGATTTTATGTGGCCTTAGAAAGTTTTTAGAAGTTTATAATATATGTGTGTACATATATGCATCAAATAAACTATATAGCTACACCCTTCCTTTTTAGAGCAGTTATAAATATAATGATGCTTTGGGGGAAAAGGAAAGCAAAGTATAACTGTGTCAAGAGCAGGTAGAAGAATATTAAATGCATGGTCTAACAAATACATAAACTAAGCTAAACCCTTGCTTATTGACCTACATGGTTATGGTATTCGTATGAAAAGGAGGTGAGTTTGGTTTGTACTTTGTTCTGTGAAATCTTGCGTGTTTACTTTCTGCAGTGCCCATTTGGAAAAGGTCAAAGTGCATCCAAATCTGTTCGTGTTAACTATTCAACTATTGGCCCGCAGCGGGCAACATGCGGAACTTGGTTTGTTTGTCATAAACAAGGTTTACAAGTCTCTTTTTACCTTCGCAATAAGTGTTCCTTGGAAAAGAATGAAAGTACTGACGTTTGAATATAGATTGTGATTTCTTAAGAGTTCAATTTCTTCTGTTTCAGATTATTGAGCCCTCGAAAGAAGTTGCTTTACAGCTGCTAGAATCTGGTCGTCAAAATTTCCAAATTAGGAAACTGGGCTTAGATATGCTGAGACTGCTTTCTTTACATCAGGATTATGTATTGTTACTGGTGCAAGATGGATATTATCTCAAAGCTTTACGTTATGCACGGAAGCATAAGGTAATCCTTCATTAGATGACTGCATCCGAAATTAAATTTGTTAGTTGTTTATTTAAAATGCCAATTTTATGAATCTAGAACTGGGGGAGTAATATTTCTTCATCCGGCCATAGTTATTAAAGTTCTTTGAGATATTTTAGGCTTTCATTACCTGGACAAGCAACCTTGTCTGGTTTCACCAAAATGTCGGTAAATTCGCTTTATGTTTGGTGGTTTTTGTTTCAGATTTCCCATGCTGTAACTATGCATATTTCTGAATATTAGGTTGTTACCTAATTCTTTATTTGTTTGAAATTGCTGGAAAGATATAGGTATTTGATGGCATTTCCTTGAAATACCCATGTCCGGATTTGACCCTCTAAGGATGCTCCAAATGCATGGAAAACGTAGAATAATCTAAGCATACCCGTGTTCAGCACATATGCACATCTAAAAACATGCACTTGAATCCGAGTAACATATGGAATTTCATCAAATCATAGTTTAAATTGTTTCAGGTGACTACCATTCGGCCCGCGTTATTTCTGGAAGCAGCATTTACCTCCAATGACCCCCAACATCCGGCCGCAGTTTTGAGATTCTTTTCAGATTTCATTCCTGGATTCCGCAGCACTTCGGATTTCTTTACGTACTACGGCATTCTGAATGAGATGAACTCTTCTTCAGTCATTGCATGAGACATGACAAGAGAGTAATTGGCAGTCATAATTATAGGAAACGTAGAACATAAAAAATGAATGTGGATTAAAACTAAATCTCTAAATTGTAGATAGAGGCAGAAAATCTTATTTTCTTTGTTTAAAAAGTTTCGCTCAATGCCACTTAATTATGAGTTTAATAAAGACAAGCCGTTTTATTCTTAAAAATTATGAACATGTTATTCAATTAAAATCTTGTTACAAACAAACCATTCTGTCGTTCAAATTGAAATATACGTCTAATCTAATTCAATATAGTAATATTTTTAATCTCGAGAATTTATGAACTCAGTTAAACTTGTCATAATTCAAAACAATATAATAAATTTAATCCTTAATATTTGAAAATTTCATCAACTTTAGTATTTTCTCTTAGGATACTGCTAAACCCAGTGAGGTCATCAATCAAAATAATAATTGAATAAATTCATTATGTCATGAAATAATAATAAATTACTCTAAAAATGTTATTATATAAAAAATATATATATATAATGTTTTTTTTGGGGGGGGGGGGAAACAAACTAAAGTTATGTATTTTTTAAATGTAAAGAATTTTTATTCGGATAAATTAATTAAATTGTTTTAGATTAGGATTAAATTAAAAATATATATAAATTTTAAAGATTAAAATTATTATTATTATAGCAAATCATAACAATATCCTGTATATTATTTAATGATATAGAGACATATTTATAATTTAAAAAAATGACAAATTTATTACAAAATCCACAAGTAAGTGACCTTGGATGGAGTTTACCCTTAAGAAAAGGATAAGTGGGATCAAATGAGGGAGCATTGGAACCCAAAAGGCCGAAACTGAAGGTTTCTTCTGCCTAATACCTCAAGCCAGTTAATTATTTAGGGTATTGAGTCTCGTCACCTTTTATTTTGTAAAATATGATAATTTTTACGGTGCGCATGGAATTCGTCACTCTCGAATATTATTTTTAAATGGTTTCTGAGTAGTGAGCCCTCATCTAGATCATTATTTTATTATCATTAATATGACTCGTCACGTCGAGGTGACGAGTCTATTCAAAAAATATTATTTTTTAATTACAAAATAAAAATAGTCATTTTGTAGTCGTTGGTCAACAGACAGACGGGGCAACAGTCACTTGGAACTCGTCATCTCGAGATGACGAGTTCAGTCAGAAATTTGAAATTTCTATCCGTTGAGAGTAAGGTTATATATAGAGGTTTGGGGTTTTAATTTTTCATCAAACCCTGAATCTGAAAAAATTAAAAAAAACATACGTGTGAAATCTCGAAAAATGACAACTCGATAATATATGTTGCGCCTGGATAACGTCCATGTTTCGTCGATCCAACGTCAGCCGGACAATGAATAGAATATTCGTAAGCGGGGAATGACATACAGAGAGTCGCATCAGCGGATACTGATATACCTGTAGCAATCCGGTCTATTTTCGACCATATATGTATGTGGCTTCAAGTTGTACTCGACATTGATTAAGGCTCTGATTGAACGTTGGCGGCTCGAGACTCACATATTCTATTTCTCGAGTAGTGAAGCGATGATTATTTTGGAAGACGTCACTTATCAACTCGGTGTTCCTGTGAATGGAGCCCCCGTGGTGAGCCAGAATATTTATGATCCCATGACGTTGGTCTACGAAGTTTTGGGAAAATGAACACCACCCGACGTCATCGAGGGCTATCGGTTACGGATAACATGGTTGGAATCTAAATTTCAAGTGACAACCGAGTGTACTGAGGCGGAGATTATTTTCATATCTCGAGCATTTCTTCTCCAAGTGATTGAAGGGGTATTATTACTGGATAAATCCGTTAATTTGGCGCACACTCAGTATCTGCAATATTTACGAGACTTCGATGTGTGTCATAATACCAGTTGAGGCTCGACATTCTAGCCTTTTTGTATCGGGATCTTTCCAAGGTTGCAATTGTCTAGCCAGGTCGAAAAAGCTGATGTAGCAGGTTGTCTAATACTGTTACAGTCGTGGGCTTGGTATTAATTTTCGTTTTTGATGCCAATTACATCACCCTCGATCGAGTTTCCGTTGGCTGCAAGGTAATTATTTAATTTCGTTACTTAACTTTTTTTAAATTTTTTAAATTTAATTATTTTTTATTTGTTTATAATATTTTTATTTTTAAATATTTTAGATGGCGTCATAAAATATCCGAGACGAAGTTGGCTGGTGCCATTGCACGAGATATACGGATGATGATTGATATTGTCGGTCGATATGCGATATGATATATGGGTTTTTTTTGTAATCTTTTTAAATTTATATATATTAACTTTGATCTTTAATCTTTATAGTTCTCTTGGCTTTCGTATATTGACGACGAGATCAACCAGTTATTGCCAGGGTGATTTTTTGAGGGGTCCCACTGATGGTGTGTCGTGATGATATTATTGTGTTATGCGATTGTTGAGCAGCACACCGCTGATAAAGTGATGAGACAGTTTGCGTCACACCAGTCGATTCTTACGCAAATGGTTGATATTGACGCGCTCCATACAATCTATACGCGTGGGAAGTATAACAAAAATTTGTCGGTGAGGCATACTTATTACATCGACCTATGGAATCAGTGTGAACTATCGCTCCCCCCGATCACGATATTACACCGTTGGACCTAGATTCGACTATTCTCCCTATCTCCAAATTAAACGACACCGAAAGAGAGGGGAGAATGACAATATCATCAGTCTACATGCACTAAGTCCAAGTCCAAGAATAAAGCATTGTCTTTGTCTTCTTCCTCTTCAACATCTGCAGGTGAATAATACTATTATGCATCTCATATTAGTTTTGGTTTCTATCCTCCATATCATACTTCAACCGAGACTCGACCGACTTAGTTTGGAGTTTCATGAGATGCATCACAATACACTCAATCATCTTCGACAACATACGATTGCAAGTGAGTGGGACCAAATCCTATATGGTCAACAAAGTAACAGTCAAGTCGAAGCAATTACGACAATGATGGCGTCAAATGTCATGAATACATCATCATATTTTGAAGGTGGATTGTAGAGTGTGTTAAGTACACCTCCTCGACAAGACGACGATGACGATTAAGGCATACAACCCGACATACTCAACGAGCCCTGCGACATTATCATTCGACCACTCCGCGACATCGTCAAAAACTTAGAAAATATAAATAAATTTTATTTGTAATTTTCATGTGAAAATTTATTTTTTGCAATTATTTATTTACTATGTATTTTCTAAAATATAAATAAATTTAATTTTCTTTTAATTTTAATTTTTTTAAATTTTATCCTACAAAACTCTTCACTTCGAGGTGACAAGTTCTAAGTGATTGTGTTGACCGTTGTCCCGTCTGCTCGTTGACCATCAGTTACAAAACAACTATTTTTTTTTTTTAAATTTGAAAGAGGTGACGAGTTCTATTTTTTTTTTTTAATTTATAATTTTAATTTTGTAATTTTAGAAAAAAATTAAATAGGTTCATCATCTCGACATAACAAGTCATATTAATTATAATAAAATAATGACTCACGTGAGGTCAACTAATCGAAGACTATTTAAAAATAATATTTGAGAAAACTCATCAACTCAACATAACGAATTGCATGTGTACTATAGCAATTGCTTGAAAATAAAAGGGGTATTGGTAAAAAAACCGAAACTGAAAACAAAATGGGCTTCCCATTCAGCGTCGAGTCCACTCCTTATCTTCTCCTCAACCTGTAAACCGCTGGCACTGCTGTGCTCACGCCTCTAGGAAGTTGCTTTGTCTGGTTAGTTTGCTTCGCTTTTATCTTTTCCTTTGCATTTCCCTTCAAAATTTATAAACCATTACAAAATATTTCAAACTTTTCGAAACATTGGCATAAAAATAATTCAGAGTCCTCTGCAAATAACCTTGTTTTTCTATAGAAACTTCTATGGAATGGCTGTTCTCTTTTTTATTCAAGTTCTGGGCATAATTGCTTATGCTGAATTATGGGTACCCATATTTTTTCTGCTTGGATATTATTATTTCATTGAACATTCATAAGATTTACGAGTTTCCGTTTACATTTATTTCTTAGCTATATGATTATGCATAGTAGGGATGACTCGATTTTATTTTTGGCTTTCCAGTTTTAATTGTAAATCTTCATCTTATGCAGATTTTGAGTAATTCATGTATGCTTGACGTTTTCATGTTGTTCAACATGTATCTTATACTTTTGAGTCATGGTTAAAGCATAAAGCATTGACATTTTATTGTTGTTGATGGCAGGAAGGTAGTGTAGAAGGGAATGCTTGATCTTAAAATATACTGAAAATTAGTAAATGATAGAATGAACAATCAAACTCATACATCTTAAGGTGTATTCTAAAATTGCTTGAATTTGCTGGATTTCGACAAAAATTATCACCATTTTTTAACACTCGAGTTAGTTAAGCTTCAATGGGGTCGCTCCTGGTGCCTTCCTCTTTATTCCTTCCGTCAATTTCTCATAGGTCCTTTCCTAAACTTCAGTCTCGACCTCAAATATTAGACCTTACTTCTCTCATAGTAATAGATACCTGTTTCACCTTTCTTGTCAACCCATTTTTTCTCGTAAGTCGCTAATGTACAATCACCAGCCATTAGCTGAAGCTGCAAATGCTACGAGTGATGGGGTGGTGTCAGTTATCAATATTGAAGATTTCAATGAAAAAGATTGGTCATTTCTTGATTCAGATGAGTTAAATTCTGATCAAGCTAAACAGAATATCGAACTCATCACGTCCGCTGGAAATATATCAGACACTTCTAGGGTTCTAGTTTCGGTCTGTTCGGAAGGAATTGTGGATTATCTAGTTGAATCTTCACCTACCCAATTGTTGCTTGTAGTACATGATTCTATATTTGTGTTAGCCATGATTAAAGAAAAAAATGATGAGGTTAAGTGTTGGCAAGGGGAATTGATTTATGTGCCTGAGAAATGGTCGCCGTTGGATGTTGTATTTCTCTATTTCCTGCCCGCTGTGCCTTTCGAACT